TCCTACTCTAATTTCTAATGGAGGGCTGTCGAAAGTGCAACCATGGATCAAGATCCAAGCTGTTGGAGGATGGATTTTTATAGTCATTCAAGTTGGTCTAGCCGCGTGGTCAATAGTTACCATAGACATTCAGACGTACTTCGACTGGTACTTCTATGGCGCTCGAGAAGAGTGTGTTCATCCTGTTGTAGCCCGGGTCTTAATGTCCGTAGATTGGGGTCTCTACGTGCTTTTGTTGCTAAGTAACGAATATTTCATTAAGGTTTACTACGTGTCCATATGTCTACTTCTTCGTCGTAGGATCCAAGATTACAACAAGTATGTTGAAGAGTTACATAGGAGGTACCGACCTGTTGGAGGAGCTCAGCTACAAGAGCTGTACCAATTACACACCAATCTAACGACAGTCGTTGTTGAAATGGATCACAATTTCTCAGTGTCTGTATTTTTCTGGTACACATCCATCCTGATCAATGTTTGCGTTAAAATCCAGTCCGTGGTGTCTGGATTTAAGGATGGAGATTTCTCTAACTTCTCCTACGTTCTCACTGATATAGCATATTACAGCATCACCTTTCTGATAGTGTCCCTAGTCGCTTCGGACGTGGCCAATAAAAGTCACGCTGCTGTACTAACTGTCCATAAGATGACCTCTGTAGCTCATCTGAGTGATTGGAATGTTCACCAACAGGCTCAGCTTCTTCTATCCGAACTTCGTGCCTCTACACTAAGCCTAACTGGGTGGAATTGTTTCGTCATCAACAAAAGGTTTATTCTAACAATTGTTGGATCTGTGGTCACTTATACCATCATCTTGCTACAAATGACGCAAATGTCCCCTAAAGCTTGATGATTATAACAATTGTACATATTTGATTGAGACGTGTAAGGTAAAGCACTACTTTATAAATATTAAATATCGGACTGTCACAAATAATCCTATATGGTTTATTGATACCTGTAATGTAAAGCACTACTTTATGAATATTAAATATTGAACTGATACAAGTAATTATAAATGGTTTATTGATGTGTAAGGTAAAGCACTACTTTATAAATATTAAATTATTACAAGTAATTATACATGGTTTATTGATACGTGTATGTAAAGCACTACTTTGTGAATAATAACTATCGGACTGTTACAAGTAATCATAGATGGTTTATCGATACGTGTATGGTAGAGCACTGCTTTATGAATACTGAAATATTAGACGTGTTAGCAAGACCATTAAGATAGCAACTGAACTGGGGCCGAAGGACGCCTGGAAGAGTCACCTGTTTTAACCACTCGCACCACGGTACAGTAATGTGTTGTCTGTCAGTCAGTCAGTAGGCGGTGAAATGACGTCACATAAGGGACGCTTAACGTTGCAATATGTACTGTCCTGACATCAATAACATGTATACACACCACGAATCACGAGAAGAATTATGCACTCTGTAGGCTACAACAAAGCATGACATATGAATTTCAAAAGCAAGAAAAAAAATAATGTTGGTTTTATTTACTCTTGAAACAGGACACTTTCAGGGACTCTGCGGAAGTACATTTAGTTTGTATTTTCAATTCTCTCAGCGTTGGAAGCTTGAAAACTTGGAGTATTCGAGTTGGCTTGGAAGAACAAAAAGTCTATTTTAATACTTTTGTATCTAGTTGATAACCTAGAAAGTAAACCGTCGATTTACATATAAAATTTCAGAAAAAGAAACCAAAGCGTAATTGTAAAAGTAACTATCACACAAGTGTTGGGTGTTATTTTTCTTCATTTGTATTTCACAGAATAATAAAATTAATTATCTTTCAACTGTCTTATTGTATTACCTATTTAAACGATACTGAGTGAGATCTGAGGCAGCTAATGGGCAGGGTATTTAACGTGTTAAGAAACCTAGCGGACGGGATATGTAATGTGTTGAGAGAACTAATGGCCAGGGTATTTGTCTCACGCTATTCATATCTTTGTTACATGGTCGTCTGACCACTTTCTATATTCCCGACACCAATTAGTTATTAACAAAATCTACAATAGTATGCTTTTAACTCTTATTATAACAATACATAAAAATAATTAAAATATTCACTCACAAATATAAATTAATCACTAATATTTAAATCAAACGGTCTTTTATATCATGACAGTACTTAATGTGTTGAGGCAGCTAATGGACAGGCTATTTATTGTCTTCGGACAGTTAACATATAGTGTATCTATGTGCATAATGAGTCCATTAGTTGTATCATACATGATAATGTTGCGTCAGCGAGTCACATGACTACAGTGACGCCACGTTCTAGAATTATCCCGTATCTTGGCGAATGATCTAGTAATTACTAGATGGAGGGTAGACTGGTATATAAAAGAGGGGAAGGTAATGTGTGTATAGATAGTGAGTAATTAATTTGCGGTCAGAAGTATTATTGACGTTCGTTGTTATAGCGTTTGTTTAGCGCGATTGTTGAAGTTGAGTGTATCGGTAAAGTTGTATTCGGAAAGAATAAACCAGTTTTATTAAGAAAGGACTTGTGTCGCTTAAGTTTCGTCGAAACGAAGTTACGGAAAGTTAATTAACAAACGGAGACGTAACAAATTGGTGTCAGAAGTGGGATAAAAAAAAT